TAGTTTCATACCCGCGTCTCATATCTCGCATCTTTACCTCTGTACTAAGAATTCACCGCCGCATACGCAGGTGGCACCGCCGGCGTCGGCGCCGTCTCGTCACTTTCCATCTTCTGTGGGAGATATCGACTCTCCTCCTTTCCCCTTTGATTCGTCTTTCACTCACTGTCTTCCCCCTATGGCCTCGACGAGTCTGTTATCAAGACCATCCCTCTCTCTCTCTATTCGCCTTCATCCTCCAAACACGTCAAAAACAAATGCAGAGAATGCGCGGTGTGCCTGCTCGAGTTCGAGGATGGCGACTACGTAAGGACTCTCCCGGTTTGTTCTCATTCGTTCCATGTGGACTGCATCGATATCTGGCTGAGGTCTCATGCCAACTGTCCCCTCTGCCGCGCTGGGATCTTCGGTTCCGGTTCTTCTCCTTTCATCCCTCTCATGGCAGCACGAATCAGGCCCAGCCTCGACGAGTCTATCCTCCAGAGCATGGCTATCGACACAGTCAACGAAGCTCCCCAGTCGCACATACCCTTTAACCCAACCTCTACGGTGACGGAGATCACGCCCTGCCTGGATGAACCATCGCCAAGGAGAACGGTGAACGCCAACTCAGAAGAAAGGTTTGGCGGCCAAGGATTCTTGCTCAAGAGATCATACTCTTTCGGATTCGAACGTAGTCTCGCCTCGGAGAGGATGGTGATGGAGCCGGCAACAGCGTCGCCGTGGAGGTACAGGAGAGGTGGAGGATTTTGGAGCAAACGACCATCCCCTTTCGGATCACTAAATAAAACAAGAGTATTCTCGTTCAGACACTACAGAGGTATGAAATCTCCATTCTTCAGACGAAGAGGAGGGGGAGGGATGTTCTTCCCATTATCCGAAACAAACGTGAGATTCTCCGGCGGCGGCGGGTCGTCCCGGAGATCAAAGTCGATGACGAGTCCGATGTTCTTTAAGCCAGCGACGGCGGCTTTAGGTGTGGGAATTTTCTCGTCGAGCCGGTTGCGGTGCGGGGATCCCGAGGCGCTGCTGTCACCGGAGAGATATCACCGAAGGTAACAGTAAGAAGAGAGAGGATTAAACGAGACACGTGGATGCATGAGGGAGATGCTGTAGAAAATTGACGGTCAAAGATGGGGCGGTGACGGAGGGTTGGGGTGATGGGTCCGGCCAAATTAATGCGGGAGAGAAAAAGGAGTATTAAGGGATTCGCGAGATAGAGAGGAGTTAATGAGAAGGTCTGGCAAATTGTAGCGTGTCATTAATTGGAGGTGGGGAGGGCATTTAATGACTAAAATTGACGAATGAGAAGATTTTTTTAATAAAAAAAAATACTCATACAGAGATAAGGTATGCATACTCTATACCCTATCCCCTCTCTCTCTCTCTCTTTAGGGCTATAAATGTGAAATCTGCCACCCTTCGTTTTGGGACTCTTCACCCCTTATTAAAGACACTTGATCGGATCCGGATTCGGATTCGGATTCGGATTCGGGTTGAATCCGAGAGTTTTGTGACTGTTTTGTACAGGCAAAGCCTGAGAGGAATTTTACGGTGTGTGCATATATAACATGAGTTGTTTCGCAATTTAATCAGTAAAATTTATATTTTATCTACGTATTTCACAATTTACCGACGGTAAAAAAAAGGGATTAAGAAATAATTTGTGTTAATTGTTAATTAGTGAGATGAATTAGATTTAACACAATTCAAAGCGTGCCAACTTCTAAAATTTAGTTACCTTGGTTTTTACCAACATATTAGTAAATAAATTATTATTATTTTACCACGTCCATAATTTACTTGCAAAATTTACAAAGTTAAAAAAATCATGTGAATTTATTTTAAAATTTCACCAGTGCTTCCCAAATTATAAAAATAATAATAATGTCAAATAAAAATTAATTACGAGCATTAAATTTTTATTAATTTAAATACTAATATTTATTTAAAAGAAGTTACAATTTAGTAGAAACTAATAATTTATTAACAATTTAAAAATTTAATTCGAGGGTAATATTTAATCTTTCACCTTTCGGTAAAAGTTATTTTTTAATCGGGCCGGGCTTGATATGCAGCTCAGTCCAGTACCCGAATCCGACCGGGCCTGTTTGTGCAGGCTTATTATTTTTAGCCCAACTGTCGGCTAATTCACAGGGCGTAAAAGCTTGGCAAGGGAGGGGTTAGGGTTTTAGCTTCACAGAATCACAGAGCTAACACCTGGAAATCGACCGGTGAGGAGAAATCAAGACATGTTTCCTGGAATGTTTATGCGTAAACCAGACAAGGCTGCGGCCTTGAAGCAGCTACGAACGCACGCAGCAATGTTTGGTTTGTGGGTCGCGGTGATTCGGGTCACGCCGTACATTCTTCACATCCTCTACGATGAGAAGGAGGAGCTCAAGCTCGAACTCTAGATTCCTCCAACTTCGTGATTCGAATTTTTCGAGGTGAGTGAGCAGATCAAGTCTCTTTTTTTTTTTTTGGCTGGCTTATTTTGTTTTGTTGGGTTTGGGTATTAAGAAAAGATAGGAGATTTTTCTGCTTCGATCTCAAAGCCATAAGAGATCGGTTTGATTTGTAAGCTTAAAGGAGCTCGTGGTTTGTTGATTTGATATTGCCTATGGTGCAATCAGACGTAATTTGAGAACAAGCTACGGTTGTCTGCACCCTAGAGCTCGTTTTTGTCCAATATGATTTCTGTTACTTTATCGTTCAATTAGTAGGTTGTTTATGAATTTAGATGTAATTTTAGTCTTTGAGTAGTAAGGGAATAAGAATTGAATTTGAAGCAATTGGATATTAAGGTGCTTAGAGCTAAATAAAACTTGACAACAGCTCAGCTTATCTATAAACGGCATTTAACAGTAGAGTCAAGTCATGTTTAAGGTATTAGAAGAAGTCAGATCTGAGGAAAACTTGACTTTCCGGAGAGTGACATTCAAATAGGAAATTAAAACTTGAATTAGCTACAAATTATGTTTTTGAAGTGATAAAGAATGTGGGAATCCATTTGGATTTAACTTTGGGTGGTTTATATAGGAGATTTATTATTAGAGCGCAATGAGGAGTGAGTATTAAGGAAGGAGAGTCCTGTTGAGAACGAATAATATAAGTGGGGAATTATTAGTGGCTTCAATAAAGGAGGGTACTTTCTTTAGTTGCCTTGACTTAATAAGACATGCCATTTTACTCGGTTTTCTTTCTAGTTAAGTTTCACAATATTGAGAAGAAAGGGAGAATTCTACAGCACTAATTCGGGTAGGATATCTACCTGTGTTACTCTTATGCAAAGGAATGGAGCGGAAAGGGAAGGAAACAAAATCTATGGTTTTTGAAATAAATGAAAAGAAACATGTTTCTTTGTTTGAATTACTAAAAGTTGAAAAAGTAAAGGAAGGATTGTTGTAGTATTTTGTTTGGTTAAACTTTATAAAGGAAATAAAAGGATTAGTTTAATCTCTTTCTTTCTTTTTTCTTTGCCCCCAACATGGAGGAATAAAGATTTGGCGTTTAAGGAAAAAAGAAAGATGTTCACTATCCATCCATTTTCTTTACCAATTATTCAATTCAAACAAATGAAAGGAGAGTGATCTTCCTTTCTTTTCTTTCTTTCCCCATCCCTCCTTTTTCCTTACTGCTTATTCGATTAAAAAAGTTGAAAGGAGAGTGAGCCTCCTTTCTTTCCTTTCCTTTCCCCCCACTTTCTTTAATCCAAATACAGTTTTAATTTCCTCAAGTAGCAAAGATTAGATTTGGCTGTAGATATTCTGGTTAGTGGTTATCTTAATTTTTCAGGAAAGTTACCATCCAAATTTCCTGTTTCCATCTGCTTAGTTTTAAGAGTGTCTCTTTGACTGATGAGAATGTTGCTATTCATTTTTTTTTATGAATGGTGGAAGTGGTTACATATCAGATTGAATCAAAATTTATTTTACTAGGTGATATTAGTAGTGCAGTCAGATATCTTCTTCTTCCATATACTTTTTGCCATATAAGGACAAATAACTGTTAATTGTAGCTTAACTTGTTGATAACAGTATTATTACTTTTTGCAAAGCTGGCAGATTTTCTGAGCATTTTCTATTCCTGCTGCTTGAAATTAGTTCATTATTAGGATTGCTTATTGAATTCCAACTGTTCCAGAGTTGAACATATTAAGAGTTTTGTTAAATGCTGCCTCATGGTGATGGTTTATTCTATCAGTTGAAACTTGTGAAAGCTAGATGTTTGTTGCATACAACTCTTCATTCATCTTTCTTATATCGGAGAATTTAGCATGCTTTTTGTGTCTTCCTATTATTGTATGGCTAAGAAGTAGATTGTTATTATATGAGTTGTGAAGTATGTGTTGGCTGTACTAAGTGTGATATTAAAACCAGTTTTTGTGAGATTATTTCACTGCACCTGTATTTTATCCTATCATATTGACGAGAAAGATGGTGTAGGTGCCCCACCCATTCAAGAAAACTTTTGTAGTCATCTAAATTTCAGTTAATTGCGCGGAACAAACTCTTTTTCTAGTAACTTATAATTGAAGTTTCCAGCCATTCATGTTCTGTTAGCTTTTGCTAAATTGACCTTGGAGATTATTCAAAACTTATTTTACAACTGAGTTTTTATCTTAATTTTCTGCCATACCACGTAATGGATAGCCATGCTTGCTAATTTTATTTCTTCTCCTAGTGGTGCAGTGGGTCTAAGTGAAGATGAATGGCATGGACTTGGGAAGAGCTTGTGTGAGGTTGTTTGTGTTGTTCTCAACCTGTAAGGCTAGTACATCCAGACACTGAGTCGCGGTTGTGCTTACTTTTAAGTCATTACAATTATTATTGTCATCAAACGAAATTTATATCAGAAATATAAAATTCAACATCCTTTCAGTTTTTTCTTGCTTGTAGTATATGAAGATTGATTTGTCCATTTGGATGATATACTGATTATGTATGTTTTCTTCTATCTCGCCCCTGACTTGGAGCTAATGTCTCTCAACACCCGAAATAAATCTTGCAAATTCTATTTCAGCCAGTTGACTATTGCTTTGTCTTTCATTTTCTTGCCACCTTTCTGCCTCCTAGAGGCACGAGATAGGCAAGAAAGAGTGAAACTATGCGATGCTCTGGTTTCTGACCTTGTACTTACCCGGTTGCTTGTGAGTTGTGATAAATTCTATTATGTATTGGTTTTGAAGTTAACGAGTGTTGTTGATGACATTTAGACTAGCAAAATTTGACAGAATCTGTTTGCATGATTCCTTTAGACATAGGGTTTGGATTCGAGTTAGAACCGTATTTTCTCCTACATTTATATAGGAGGTTGTATAAATACATGTATACATGTATTTTTATTAAAAAAATTTCAATATAAATTTTGTGTTTATATAGAAAATTGAAAATGTGATTTTATGGGGTCATAGTAGTGGGATTTAGAGAAATCATTTTGGTATTGAATGGTGGCAATTGTGCTACTTGATATATACATATATATATATTGCTTTTTTACAATAAACACCTGTAAGTTATGATATTATTCAACTAATTTATTTCATTTTGTTGTCAATGGTAATCATGTCATTCAATGAATCTAATTCTCAAAATTAAAGTATAAAAAGATAAATATAACCTTTTTTTTCAGCCCAATATAAGATTTTTTTTTACTTATATTTAAATTTCATACATTTTTTGATGAATCCACAGAGGAAAAATATAAAACATGATGAAGTCCAATTTATCATGGTATAGTTAATGTGACACTTCCTCTTTCTTCAAAATGAGACTTTTTTTGTGTCACTTTTAAATTTATTGTTCTTTTTTTTTTTACCGATTTAAGTCGGTTATTTTATTTTATTTTATTTTATGCTAGGTGAAGTATTTAAATTAATTTATTACATATTCCAAATTTTTTAATGAAATGAAAAAAAAAAAGTTGTCCAAATTGAATTATTAAAAAATTACTAAAGATTAAATCTTTGTGATTCCAACCTAATTTTGTCCAAATTTAATCTAAAAAAAAAAAAAAATTTGCTTTCATGCACCATGGTTGTAGCAAAATTTCCCTAGGAATACAAATAGATCCACCACTAAAATTATACATATCATATATATATATATATATATGTATGTATGTATATAGAGTTTCCACTAACAATGGACTCACATGGAATTGAGACAAGTGGCATCCCTATAACCCTCCTTCTAAAAAGCATTGGCTCACCTTCTTTTTCTAGTCATTAGAGCATCATTTTGACTAACATCTAATTCATTTAATGTCCTATATATATATATATATATATATATCCCCACACACACACACACACACACAACCATACAAAACTATACAAAAACATTGAAAAGTGTTAGTTCATAGGGCCCTCCCCTTTAGGGTTGTCCACCCATGATGCTCCCTACACTCACAATAATATTTTAAAAAACAAAGGAATTGATACCAAGTCTTGGCATCTTCCATTCCTTTTTTCTTCTTCTTAGGAACTAATTTTTTGCCAAGTTGGTTCGTTTTGATGTCACAAAGAAATTCTCTCACTTTCAAGTTTTGGTGTTGTCAATTTAAGAAAATAAATATTAGGGTTCATAAAAGTTTTTTATACAACTTATAAAAATTGAATATAAGCCTTAAATTATCGAGAGAAATTTGCTTGCAACTACGCATTGAATACATTAAATAATGTGAGTTTAAATAATTTATTTTCTTTCAAGTTTTTGCGGGGATCAATACATAAATAAGACACTAAAAATTATCAAAGAGTTTGGAAAAATGATGACAGAGAAGAATCTCAGAATCGGTCTTCACCGTTAGATTGTTTATATATAAAACGTGCCACCCAAAAAGAATAAAGTGTCAAGAAACCAGCATTAATTACACCGAGTTTGATCATGATATCATCATAAATCAATTAATCCCCCAAAAAAACCAAAGAGAAAAAAGAAATCTTTTTCTAATTCCCACCAGAAATCCTGCCTGCAAATTTAAGTAAATCTCCCAGAAGAAATCTGTTTTCTCGGCAGGAAGTCTCTGTTTTATTGTATCATGGTGATTTGGTCCAAGTAGTTGCTGTCAAACTTTGCGGTGAAATATATTGGGGGGAGGACTGTTGGATCATATAATTTTGTGACAGTTCAAAATCTTTTTTTTTTCTTTTTTTCTTTTTTCTGATTTTAGATGAAAGGTTTTGTGGCGGGTCAAAGATGCTCAGAGAGATCAGGAGAAGAGAATATCAGAGAAGTTACAGGAGGAAGAAGGGAAGACTAGATGAATCAAGACCATGGATGAAGTACCTGGCTCTGTTGGAACCAGTGCCAGCTTCTCTTTGAGATTGGGACAAACTGTCTTTGCCTCTGCTTCTCTTCTCTTCATGTCTTTGGGTGTTCAGTTCTATAGCTACACTGCCTTCTGGTAATTCTTCAACTTCAATATATATATATATATATATATATATACTATGGGTTCTGTTTTTTTGATGGTTTTCTTCTAATGGGTTTTGATTACTTTTTCAGATCAGTTTTCTTGGTAAAAGAATTTTGAGTTATTCTTTATGGTTTACAACTTCTTTGCTATCTATTGTTCTTGAATCAAATTTGATTTAGTTACTGTTGCACGAAAATCTCATCAATTTTTTTTTTTCCACTCCAACTTTCTGAGATGAAAACCAAATAAACCAGACTTTCCCGATCCTTTCCTTGCCATATTTTGATATAATTTTCCTTAAAATTCTGCTCATCATCATTATCAACATTCCCCCTTTCCTCCAAGAAGAGCTTTGGTTATGGTCAAATTAGCATGTCAAAAGCTGCATAATAATCATATCCTCCAAGCTCCATACCAGAGACTTTCTTATGTACAAATAATTGAGATAAAAAATTTGACTTGGTGTTAATAAGTTTCCGCGACTTATTACCATCAATTCAGTAAAAAGTTATATCTCGAAATATATATTTTAGCGAAAAAAGAGATCACAATTTGGTTCAATCATTATCAAGATATTGTGTTATTAATAAGGTGATTGATTTTCAGCTACTTGGTAACAATAATGGGTTTGGTGATCCCATGGAGTCTCACATTGGCACTGGTTGACGGCTACTCTATTATAGTCAAGTGCCCTGTTAGACAACGAAGCATACTTCTGATAATTGTGATCGGAGACTGGGTATGTCGACTTCCTGCTTTGCTCCCAATAGTATGGAGTTTTGTGTATTAGATGCAAATTTCTGTCTGACAAATTAGATTTTGGTATTGATAGGTCTTATCAACTCTTACATTAGCAGCAGCCTGCTCGTCAGCCAGCGTTGTCAATCTCCTCCTCCACACAGACCACACCGATGCCTCATACTGTCCTCCGACATTTTGCAGCAGGTATCAACTATCAGCTGCAATGGCTTTCTTGACTTGGTTTCTGTCCATGGCTTCATCTCTTTTCAATCTCTGGTTACTCCCCTCCTTGTGATGTTTTAGAGTGTTTTTGGAGTTCCCAATTGTATATCCTAGTGCTCAACACAAAATTTGTTTTTGGTTTCTCTGAAATTGAGTTATGCAGATTGATATATACTATATACCCACAAATTTACAAAGGCCAACATGGAAAATAATGAAAAAAGAACATATTTCATTTGGGTTCAAGCTAAATTCTGACTGCACTATATGTTTGAAAGTGTAACAGAATGTTTTCATTGGATAGAAAATGTGACAGAATACAAGAAGCAATAGTAGTAAGTGATTTGAGTTCGAGCTACTGAACTGATAAATTGCTACCATTCCGGATAATGTGAACCTTAATGATACTGGCTTGTTGGTTGACAGCAGAAACTTGCAAATTATCCTATCGTTTTCACCTACATTGTTCCTTCTGCATATTCCTTTCCATCCTTGAATCGCAATATGACCATATTTATGGTTCATAATTTTTCCTTCCAATTTCCCATCTAGGTCATGGAAGGATATACTCCTCCTTGGCTTCAGGTGATGATCAGCAATAACATGTGATAGAATATGCTGCACAAAGGCATTATGGGAAACCAGTAAGAAGACAGAAGAGTATGAGATGAAACAACTCAGACAAACATGTAAGATTCAACTTTAGATTTCGCAAACGCATAACATGGTCAAATGGGCATTA